TGGACGAGTCCTGTTTTTGGGGTTCTGTTTCAGGGGTCATTCCTGTTTCTTCATCCTTAGGGGGTCTCACTCCAGAAGTCTTCCTCGCTTTGAACTTTTCAATTTTCTTAGTTGGCTGTCTTCCTGATGGTGAATTTTTCAAGATTTTGGACTCATGCTCCTATTTCACCCCTTATCTCCTAAGGAACTCTTCCTCATGTATATTTACGTAGATGTGTTAGCATTTTTGCTGTTCTTTAATTCTCTGTGTTCTTCCTTTATGTTCTTTGTGTTAGTGTGTTAGCATTCTTTGGCCCGGTGTTCTCTTACACTAGCCTTGAATTCCAGTTCCTCTTAGTTCTTTACCCAGAACTCGCATTCTGAGTTAACTCCTTCAGGGCCCTTCTCTGTTTCAGGAGTGCAAGAAGCCAATCTCCACCCACAGACTTGAGGTATTTTCTTTCTTTCTTTATTTCAGTTCTGCACAGAAAAGGGTTCTGGTTGGCAAATTCACCAGGCCAGAACAACCACGATCCAAACTGTTCACTATGTCTACATCTTAGCCAAACACCTAATACAATCATTCCTTTATTATTTTTAAGAAATGAAATAACAACTACCTTAAATATATTAGAGTTAAAATTATCTTATTACTTATGAAAACACTACGCTATTTGAATACACCAAAATAACTAGGGAAATATTACTAGTCTAACTGAATAGACTACTCTGTATTGTATCTTCTATTGTTAAAAGATTCCCTCCCTTCTTAAGCTAACTAGCTTTCTGCACCCCCCCTTAGGTTTGTGATCACTGGAGCCCGTCAAGCCCTAAGCCTGAGCCAGGCAATTCTCCCATCAAGGAATTGATCCTTGCAAGGCCTGGCCATGCAGGCCAGCCCGTGCTGCTCCCTCAGGAGAAGGGGAAGTGGGAAAAGATAAACAGAAGTGAAGTTCTTAACTTTCCAAATTATCTTCTACCTTGTAGCATTTAGGACAATTTTCTGAGAATCCTTAAATGTTGGAAATAGTCAGAATTTTTGGCTATGGCTTTCTTGAAGCCGTTTTTGCCCAGGTCAATAGTCCCAGAATCCCAGAATCAGCAAGGTGGGAAGAGACCTTCCAGGTTCTCCAGGCCCACCATCAAACCCAGCTGCTACAAACAGGTCCAGGAGATTCCTAAAACCCCTGGGGGACAACTTCTCACTACAGGGGCTCAGGGAGCCCATTCACAGAGGTGTCCTCTGGGATTTGTTGCTCCTTCCCAGAGAGGCTCTTGTGAGTGAAGAGGCCATTGGTGACTGTCTTGGCCACAGCCACGCTGTAGCAGTCGAGTTTCCCATCTCTGGTGCTTCACCTGCTCCCCTCTTGCTCCTGAGATGGACCCGGCACAGGTGAGCACAGCTGGAAAACAAACCCCTTTTATGAATGTGTCCAGGGTGAAGCTGCTGTCCCAAAACAGGTTCTTTCCCTCGGAGGACAAGGGAAGAAGACAAGAACACAAACTCCACACAGAGACCTGAGGTATTTTCTTTATTTCTTTATTTCAGTTCGGCACAGAAAGGGGTTCTGGTTGACAAATCTACCAGGCCAGAACCACCACGATCCAAACTTTTCACTATGTCTACATCTTAGCCAAAAACCTAATACACTCATTTTTTAAATATTTTTAAGAAATGAAGTAACAACTACCTTAAATATATTATCGTTAAAATTATCTTATTACTTATAAAAATGCTACACTATTTTACTGCATCAATATAACTACAGAAATATTATTAATCTAAGAAACAGACTACTTCTATTGCTTAAAAGATTCCCTCCCTTTTTAAGCTAATTAGCTTTCCCCACCCCCCCTTAGGTCTGCGATCACTGGAGCCTGTCAAGCCCTAAAGCTGAGCCAGGCAATTCTCCCAACAAGCAGTTGATCCTTGTAAGGCCTGGCCATCCAGGCCAGCCCGTGCTGCTCCCTCAGGGAGCTGTGCAGGCTCCAGGTCAGCTCTCATCTCCGGGGCCCGGCCTGGTGCTGGCAGTGGGCACTAATCCTCCGGCCGTCCCGCCAGGCAGGGGATGCGCAACAGGCGGCGCAGAGCCCGCAGCAGCCGCCTGCAGCGGGAGGGACGTTCCCTGGGCACCCGGCTCTCTGCCCCTGCCTCTGGCAGCTGCTCTGCGCAGGCAAGAGAAGATGCTGCCAGTGCCCAATCCTGGGGAGTAGGCTGAAGCTTCTGCAGGAGCTCTGGGTACTTGGGGTTGACCCAGATGGTGCGGATGGTGATGTATTTGCACACTTGCTCCTGCTTGGCGAAGGACCAAGGCTCAATCTGTGGCCCTGGCAGCTCTGCCCCCGCCACTGCCCCCTCCAAAGAGGGAGTTGAGGGGCTGGGGGGGCAGCAGGGGCTGTGTGGGGCAGGGCCTGGGCTCTCTGCCCCTGCTTCCTCTTCCCAGCAGTCAGGAGAAGCTGCTGCCCGTGCTGACCGCTGGGGCGCAGGCTGAGGCTTCTGCAGGAGCTCTGGGTACTTGGGGTTGACCCAGATGGTGTGGATGCTGATGTGTTCGCCATTCTCCTGCCACAGCTCTTGCTCAATGTTGTCTCCCTCTTGGGACACCTCTGGG